TTTTTTTTTTTTTTTTTTTTTTTTTTGTCTTTTTCCGGGCCCGTCAACGGATCGCAACCCTCAGTGTTGCCCCCGTACCGGACCGGGGACCGGCAACGGAATTGCAACCCTCGGCGTTGCTCCCGCGCCTCGCTCAGCCAGTGAGCGGGAACCGGTCTGTATGTGGGATCCGAACCCTCAGGCGGGAGCGCCGCCGCGCTTCCCAAGCAGCGCACTATCCAGTGCGCCACCGGGCCGGCCCCTACCCAGTATTATTTTTTAAGCACAGCCAGCTCTGAAGCTCTGGTGTGCATAGTTCTTACCCAACACCCTTTCAGCATGAGACTCTGTCTCCTCTCCCTGGACATGTGTGGATTTCTCTTTGGCACTACGTTTATTCCTTCAATTTAATGAGGACCTACTATGTGCGAGGCACTGTCCTAGACTCTGAAGACATAGCAGTGGATGAGAGAGACAAAAATGCATCCCCTGGTGGAACTGTGTTCTAGCGAATGGTAAAAAGGAGAGTGGTCTTGCTTTCCTGCTCTTTGCCGTAAGACAGGGCCGTTAGGGAGTTTGGGTCAAGGGGTTGTAAGCAGAAGCTTCACCTCTGGGCTGAAGCATTTATTTGCTGGAGAGACTCTAGCGCTATCCTTTCCTGCCTCAATCATGCATGTGGAAGGTATCTGTTCTGGACAGTCGCCAGACCTGTAATGGACTTTGTGGGAATGAGAAATAAATGTTATGTTAAACTGCCGAGATATTGGTACTGTGTGTTTCTGCAGCCTGGCCTATCTTAATAGCTTAGAAGAGGGCAGTTGGGGGAGGTGGCTGCTAGAGCTCAGGAACTTCCCTTTTTCATTTCATCTGGCCTCTGGCCCTCAGAAGAGATGTAGCTTCCTCTAGGTGCTCGTCTGAGCTGATGCAAAGCTATTGGGAACACTAAGAAGCTCACAAGACCATAGATGATGGGGAAGAAAGATATTGCCATCTGGGACAAGTCCTGGGGAGGTCAGTTGTTTAAGTGGACAAGACAACCCTCCATACCTCCCTGGCCTTACTCCACTCTCCATATGGAGAGTCTTGCTGTGCTCCACTGCCCCACATGCACAGAACAGGATTTTCTATAGATGGTCATGCTATGGAGAGAGCAAGGCTTGCCTTCCATTCCTCATGTGAGTGCAGTAAATTTCAAAGAATGGTTTGGTAACTATCCCTATGGTACCTTGTATGAGTCATGACTCAAAACAGATAAGACTAGGGCAATAGCAAAGTTGCCTAGATCAGTGTAGAGAGGAAGGTGGCTGCTTTTCCTGGACTGAGGGGTAACAACTGGGGAAAAGCTTGGGCAGGGAAGTAGGAGCAGTATAGTTCCAGTTGTGGAGTAAAAAGCCTCCGGTGGGGAAGTCCTAGCTTAGCCATTAACCAGCAACACAATGTCTTACAACATCTTAGCTTGGAATTTGGGGTAGAAGTTTGAACAAGGGATTTCTATACCTTTGTCACAGGTATGAGAACAGATGACTAAAAAACAAAATTGAGGCTTTGTTTTAACATGAAATACTTAAAAGTTTATATGTGTTGGGATGCAACCCTAGGCCCAGCTTAAACAGTACTAAAGTTCTCACAAATATGCCCTCTATAAACAAGCAGATGATTTCTAGGAAACCAGAGGGTGCTTTATTGTAGTTTGTTTAGATAACAGTCTTATGGTGGTTCCAAGGTTATTTCTGAGAACTGAATCACTGACCCAATTCAAATCCCCTTACCCGCTCCTCAACACTGGTATAAGTGGCCACACTGCTGGGACCATCCCAAACAGTAAGCAGACTGTTTGGAACCTTAAGCTGATCTTGAGAGCCTTTGATATTTTAGCTGGAGGGGAAGGACACGAGAGCTTAGAATCAAACTAGATCTTGAAACTGAAACTCCTACAGTTTCTATCAGCTTTTGGAACTAATGAGAACAGTGTTGAATTTCCCTGGAGAGCGTGAGAGGAAGAATGCCAAGCAGCCTCGAGTTGAACTATGAGGAACCATTAAAAAAAGAATGCCAAGCAACCTTTTCTATCCCAATGGACAGTTGGGATAACAAAAGATTGAGCTCCATAAAGGATTTTCCAAACATCTGTCAAGTCAACTGACAAGTGTTTACTGAGCACCTCTTGCATATCCTAGTCAGTTCTCACTCGTGTGTAATGGATCCAGGCTGCCCCTATTACTCCTCACTTGGGGGCTTTCTACTGCCTAGACTGACTGGATCACTTGCTGAAGCTGTTCCCACGTTCTTTCTGAGGGCTAGGTTCTTTCCTAGGTAGTTTCTGAAGTGTCCTATGTGGGAACCATTGAGGCTTTGCTCACATTCCATGTTTCTAGTGTTCCTCCCAGTAGGAAACTACTCAAACAAGTACAAAAGCATATTTTTGTTACTGAATCTTTTCTGCACTTGTCACGTTTATAGTTTCTTTCTTGTGTGGGTTCACTGGGGAATGAGGCTGAAGCACTTTTTGAAGCATTTACGAGAACCTCCGTATGGTGGGTTTCCTTCGTGTAA